CAAATTTTGCATATTTGTTTTATAACTGATTATCGACACTTGAAATTGCGTTTTAGGACTCAAAATAAAAATAGAAGAATAAGTAAAAACTTGGCATTAATTAATTCACGTGGAATATTCTAATTTTTTTGGGCAAATACATTGAATGTATGTTCATGTTTCAAGAGTTAGTGCAACCATATACTGTTGGTGGGGGTAGGGGTAGGGGACAAAATTGTGTTAACAATATTTTTCATTAAAACAAATGAAAATGAATGATAAAAGAATCTAGCCAATATTTGATGAGATACAACTCCATGCTACGGGTTTTCAAATTACTTTTATAAATACCTATATCAAAGTATTAAAAAAAAATTAGATATCTAAGTTTAATTTTTCTAAATGATCAATATTTGGATCTCGAGGTTAAGTCAATTTCATCTACATTTTCGTTAAACATCCATTGAATATGCTCTGGCACTAGAAAAAATATGTTCATGGTACACGATTACATTACCACGGTGGGCCAATGGCTTGAAAGCCAACCAGAGTAAGTGAGTCCACATTGAACTCTCTCGAATGAAAATATCAATTTACTATTCACTAAAAACTTGTACACTTTTTTTATTATTTACACAATATTCACTCCAGGAATGAATTCAAACTTCTCATATACGAGTTCAATAAAGCATGAATGAAGGTGTACATGAGAGTCGAGAAGTCACTCATCCAAGGGCCAAAATTGATCTAGTGACAAACTTCAACACTAATGTTGCACAATCATTAGTTATACAAAATCTCCCTCCCTCCCTTCATTCCCCTGTTTCACAGACCGCAGGTTTCGCTCCCGAAGTACAACGCCTTAAGGCCTCCTTCCCCTCATTCCGAGGCCGGCAAGCTCGAACAACTGCATACACGCATGCTATGAGTAGGATGTTAGGGAGAATACATGCATATGATTATATATCATTAGTGCACTATTGGTAAAATAGGCATCGCGCCTAGCTGTTAGCGTCATTGTCGTGCCAAATTGGAGGATAAGCATTCTCACTGCATGACATTCTCCCCCATTTGAATTCGCTTACGTCCTCGTAGTGAGAAGTGAGTTTCGCATCAACACGCATCCGTCTCATTGCAAGAATAACAATGTCACCACTCCATATGAACAGACATTCACAAACCTGCAGTAACTCGTATTTATTGCCTTTGACACCAACCTTCACCCTTTGCTTCTCCGAGCATTGGTTCCTCGGGTGGACGGCCTCCAAACCGTAACACCTCAACGCATGTCGAAAATCCCTGCAAGGTGCGCTCCTCGAAAACTCCTTGAAAGGCACCTAGACAATTGCGCAGTGCTACCCTTTTTCATCCTTCTTGCCCATAGCTTCCTTCGTCATGTTCCGCCAGCTTGCCGACACGATCCGTGGCCCAAAATCTTTTCTCTGCAGGAACACACGACATTGTCCCATAACAACACCGCATGCTTGAGCGAACCCGCTCTGATACCAACTTTCACGAATCGCAAGTTTGGCTCCCGAGATACAACACCTGGCAAGCCCGAACAACTGGCATGCACGCATGCTATGAGTAGGATGTTAGGGAGAATACATGTATATGATCATATATCATTAGTGCACTATTGGTAAAATAGGCATCGCATCTAACTGTTAGCGTCCTTGCCGTGTCGAATGGGGGGATAAGCACTCCCACTACGTGACACCCTGGTTAGTCAGCTTCACAGGTCCTCATGTCAAAACCCAATAAATACCCACATAAATGCACTATTAAAATGATCAATTATGCTATATGTACATAATAGTTTACATACATATGATATGATGAGACATTCAAATTTTTTCAACCAAAAAAAAAAACTCTCGCTCTCTTTTTGATACATCATCTATATGTTAATCATTATGTAACTCTTTGTACACAAATATCATTATTCTAAATTATAAAGCTTCAAGAAATTGCATAAAGAGAAAATCACATAAAGTAAGGTATTATATTTATTTTTAACGATTATTTTACATGTACATAATAATGTATATAATGATTTAAATACATACGATGTGTTTAGACATGAATGGATCAAAATTTCTTCAACAAAAAAATAAAA